TGACCACTGCCCTTTAACTTTTCCTGCATATTAGAAATTCATGCAAACAATTTAATCTTGTTTCATGTTGTTCTTGTTTATGGCTAGCTACTCCTGGGAGGCTGAATGATTTAATACAAGCTGGTGTCATCAATGTTAGCAGTATTACTTATCTGGTGAGCATCATCACTCATGTAATTATGTATTGCATATCATGTGGGTTATGCATGGCATGTCATGTGACCTGGGTATGCATGTCTTGTGGCCTGGGTATGCATGTCATATGACCTGGGTGTGCATATCATGTGGCCTGGTTATGCATGCCATGTGGGTTGGGTATGTATGTTGTGTGGGTTGGGTGTGTGTGTCGTGTTGTGTGGTTTGGTGTGGTTTGGTATGTTACGTGGACTGGGTTAGCATGTCATGTGAATTGGGTATGCATGTCATGTGGGTTGGGTGTGCGTGTCATGTGGGGTGGGTGTGCGTGTCATGTGGGTTAGGTGTGCATGTCGTGTGGGTTAGGTGTGCGTGTCATGTGGGTTGGGTGTGCATGTCATGTGGGTTGGGTGTGCATGTTGTGTGGGTTGGGCATGCGTGTCGTGTGGGTTGGGTATGCGTGTCGTGTGGGTTGGGTGTGCGTGTCATGTGGGTTGGGTGTGCGTGTCATGTGGGTTAGGTGTGCATGTCATGTGGGTTGAGTGTGCATGTCTTGTGGGTTGGGTTGGGTGTGCGTGTCGTGTGGGTTAGGTGTGCATGTCGTGTGGGTTAGGTGTGCGTGTCATGTGGATTGGGTGTGCGTGTCATGTGGGTTAGGTGTGCATGTCGTGTGGGTTAGGTGTGCGTGTCATGTGGGTTAGGTGTGCATGTCATGTGGGTTGAGTGTGCATGTCGTGTGGGGTGAGTGTCGTGTGGGTTGGGCGTGCGTGTCGTGTGGGTTGGGCGGGCGTGCGTGTCGTGTGGGTTGGGTGTGCGTTATGTATGTCATGTGGATCACGTGTGTGGCATATTTTCATGTCTAGCAGAAATGTTGATTCTGCCAGAGATGTATTATATGTAATGTTTCATGACTCAGGCCCTTATACTGATATTGTTCTCATAACAGGTTCTAGATGAAGCTGACCGAATGCTTGATATGGGATTTGAACCACAGATAATGAAGATTATATTAGATATCAGACCAGACAGACAAACTATTATGACAAGGTAAAATAACTATAAGATATTATGACCAGATGCTTTTTATGAGTCTCCAAACCCAAACTTTCATCTGATTTGTAAAGACTGTTTTCTTAAACCATATTTACAGATCACATATAACACTTTTTTTTCAAACTTTAGTGCAACATGGCCTGAAGGTGTACGTCGTCTTGCTCGTTCTTATATGAAGGACCCTATACAAGTACATGTTGGATCATTGGATCTTGCCGTAAGTAGTCTTGTGAAGTCTCTTGTTCACAGAAGTGTATATCGCTTAATGGAACATAGGTGTCTTGTTGCAGGCAAAGTATTGCTACACGTATGTACTGTTACAATGGATGAAATTGTGGATCGCTTGTAAAGAAAATGATATTGTTATGTCTTCAGTGTACATGAAACAAATGTAGAATGAAATGGAA